CGTGCGCGGCCGGAAGCGGAAGTGAGTGTGCTGGTAATCATGGTGCCGCCGGGGCGGGGAAGGAGGTGCCTCCGCTGCCGGGAGCTCGGTGAGGGGCAGGGCCGGCGGGGGAGGGGGAACGGCGGGGCGGGCGGCGCGGCCTCGCGCAGGCCGTGGGGGTGGCCCTCTGCGGGCCCGGGCCTGGCGGGAGTAGCGCCGCGCTAGGGGAGGGGACACCTTCCCCCGGCCCGCGGGGCGGGGGCCGCGGCGCAGGCCCCGGTGTCTCCACCGCCGTCCGCCCTGGGGCTAGCGGACGGCTGGGGACTGCTCGGTGTCCCCTGAGCGGAGCGGGGCTCGGCCCGGGTGGGGCTGAGCCGCCTGACCCGGCTCCGCCCGTCCTTGTGTTCCAGATGAGTCGTTCCGGGCCGGGAGCGCGGTGTGGCAGTGAGAGGCGGTGACCATGGGGGAGAACAGTCCCGACGGCAGCGCTATCTATTATGAAACGGAAGAAGACGATTTAACTCAAGATGGCAATATGATGAGGTTTGCTGAGAAAAACGGCCTGGTGTCTTCATCGTCTGGGACGGTGTACGACAGGACAACTGTTCTGATAGAGCAGGACCACAGCGTGTTGGAAGATGATGAGGACGAAGGACAATGTGGTGATCACTTGCCTTTTTTACCGGAGGGTCACGAAGAAGGATTTCATTTAATAGCAGATCATGAAGGAATGTCCCAGGGTTATGTGCAACATATTATTTCTCCAGATCAGATTCACCTAACGATAAATCCTGGTTCAACTCCTATGCCAAGAAACATCGAAGGAGCAACACTCACTTTGCAGTCTGAATGCCCAGAAACTAAGCTTAAAGAAGTAAGTAGCTAAATATGATTCTGAATCTTATGCTTATTGTGAGAGCTTTTTTCTTAGTGACATTAGATGCTTTGAAAATGTGTTTTTCTAAAGCTGTTTGGGAGGTAGACAGAAGTTTCTCTTGTTTTTAAAGGTTGTTGTGTGGCAGAGTGAGTTGTGCTCCCATAAATCTGCTGTTGCTCTTATCGATAGCTGTGCTTTGTGCTGATAACAGGCTCTTTCCTGCAGTCACTTAACGGGTCAGCAGCAAAGCAAAGCTGCCCGTGTCATGGGATTTCACTTTCTTGTGCAGCAGCCAGGAAGTGCTTTCTGACACGCGGTGCCACACTGGGTAGCAGGAGAACATGGCACTGAAAAAGCATTTGCGGTGGTTTAGTATGGGTTTTTTAGTGGTGCTTTATTTTTCTTTTGGTTGGGCAATTATTTCTTGAGTTACAGCACACGCTCGTTGTTGTTGTGCTGTGGTTAACCACGGTGTGGAGAAAAGAGCCTCCAAGTTGCAGGTTAAATTCCAGGCTGTTGCAGCAGCTGAAGTGTGAAACTTGAGATGTGAAAAATTACTTCCGGTTTTATTATGGCACCTACGAGGAAATGATGAGAAGAAAATAAGGGAAGCTTAAAACTACTATCTGTTGTATTTTGAAAGCTTGAGTCAGCTTACGTATTTAAAATGGTTGATTGCTTTTAATTCTGTTTCCCTAATGAATTCTGCCTGCATGACAGATGAGGGCTTGTACCAACTGACTCGGGATTCTTGCTGTTTAGGTGTAAAAGCAATGTAAAATTGATTGAAATACCAACACAGGGACAACTTTGTGTTCCTTTTTTTAGCCCATCTGAGTTAAATAAGGGATGATCTATGCAAGCATCTGTGCTGGTGGTGGTGGTGGTATCAACTACTTGTGTAACCGGTACTCAGCGTAAGAGAGAATTGCAGAAATGAGCCCTGGCTGAGATAGGAAGCTGGGTTTGAACGCTCTGAATAATTCAAATTAGCAGGGAACCTTCGTTATTGCTGGCACAGCAGTGAGGAAACGGGGCTGTCAGAGGTCGGCTCCGCGATTGTGAAACTTCTGGCCTGAGATTTGTTGAATAAGCCCATTTAAGCCTTGGGAACTCCTTTTGCTCGGTTATTATTCAAATTAGCAGCTACTGTATCCTCCCCTCTTAGCTGCTAAAATAGTTAATTTTTTATGGCAGTCGTATCAGTACTTTCTTTTCTTCTTGTAGGCTAATAAGCTGCAATCTGTAGTGTCAGAACAGCGTGTACTAGCGGAACAGATGTTGATGACTGCACATGCAATTAAACTGATTTTATTTCTCCACCACTCCTGTTTAAAAAAAGTCGTGTAAGACCTGGAATTTCCTAGTGAAATCCTTTATCTGAAATCCTTTATTTTCCATCTTTTGAACCGTTTTTTGAGGGAGGGGGGCTATTACACTATAATTTGAGTGCAGTGGAAATAAGCTCTCCTTGGGAGAGGCACACAGTGTCCTTTGACGTGCAGCCCCAGCCCTTCTCTTCGAGGTACCGTGTTTCTGAGCCATCTGGGGGTTTTCCTCCCCCTCCCATGTCTCTGTTTTGTTGTTACTTGAGCGTGGTGTTCCAGGGAGCCATTTACAGAACTCACCAGTGGTTTTATTGAAGGCCCATTGCTTCTTTCATTTATGTGATACTACACAAAGCATTAATCAAATCAGTTATTTTATGGAAGGATTAAAATAGACTCGTTTCTTAATTAGGCACACCAAAACTGATGCATTTTTGATGTTATTTCTATTTAACATGTCTGTTAAATGTCATTTAACAAACATTAACATGACAGACATGCTCCTCCCTGTTATTCTGGGAGGAACATCCCAGGAATATTCTGGGAGGACTTCAAATAAAGTGATTTTATACTTAGCTGACGAGAGATCAAGGCTTCCCATGTTATTCTGTTCTTGGCTTTCAAGCTGTGCTGGTAAAGAACCATGATTATCAAATGTTCTTTTCTGATGGGTATATACAAAGAAAAAAAGAACAGTTGTTGAGTCATGAGATGGGTAGAAGCCTGTAGGTGTTACACACTGGTTACATAGGGGGTTCATCCAGTTCTCCTGGTATCAACCCCCAATTCAGTATCTGTTTTTTTGGAACACAGTCTGCAGTCTTTTTTTAAGCAATAGTACCAGCTCCTGAGATAGGTGCTTTGTGCCCTGGAAAAGAGGAAAATTGCTGGCTTATGCACTGCTGTATTATCTTTCTGGCTAGTTGTTAGGGTACTAAATCTGCAGGTTCCTGCTTCTCTGTTGTGAGTTTGTGTTGCCTTTCTAAACATAGCCAAATTGACAGCTTTTGGAATGCTCTTCTGCTTCTTGCTTGTCAACCATCAAGTCCTCTCTTGGGCTCTGTAGTCACTTGTAGGTGCTAAGGTTTCTCAACTGCAGCGCTCAAACGAAAGCCATCAGTCTGATAGTGAACGTTGAAGATGAGCTTATTCGAGCGTATCAGATGGCTTGTTCCTTCTACTTCACAGAAGAGAATGAGATGTAATTAAGCGTTATGACTTGCACACTGGAAGCTTCTACATGGTCTCCTCCTGCCTACAGAACTATTCTTCTGTAAGGTCAGCCTGCTTTCCAGTGTTTGCCACTCCTTCCTTGCATAGTGCAGCAGAAATACTAAGTTATCTGATAATTAAACAGCAATAATTTGTTTTTTTTCTTGCCTTTGGTGTCTAAATCTATTCTGTGGTTTCTGATGTTTAACTGCAGTTCTACCCTGTCTGGATTCCTGAAATACTTAAAAGTTATTAAGCATGCAGCATTTTGTCTCTTAGGTGAAGAGGTACCAGTGCACCTTTGAGGGCTGCCCACGCACCTACAGCACTGCCGGGAACCTGCGCACTCACCAAAAGACGCATCGTGGGGAATACACTTTTGTCTGCAATCAAGAGGGCTGTGGCAAGGCCTTCCTTACCTCCTACAGCCTCAAAATCCACGTTCGAGTGCACACTAAGGAAAAGCCGTTCGAATGTGATGTGCAGGGCTGTGAAAAGGCATTCAATACACTGTACAGGTGGGAAGGCTCTCATTGTTTCTCCTGTAGATGTGGCTGTTGCTGTTCTGCAAGTTGTGTGTGCTTTTTGTTTGTGTCTGAGTGCAACTGCTACGCCAGACTCTTTTCAGTGGTTCCCAGTGAGAGGACGAGGGGCAACGGGCACAAGTTGGAACAGAAGAGGTTCCACTCAAATATGAGGAGAAACTTCTTCACGGTGAGGGTGACAGAGCCCTGGAACAGGCTGCCCAGGGAGGGTGTGGAGTCCCCTTCTTTGGAGATTTTCAAGACCCGCCTGGATGCTCCTGAGTAACATGCTCTAGCTCTAGGCAATCCTGCTTCAGCAGGGGAGTTGGACTAGATGATCTCTATGGTCCCTTCCAACTCTGAAATTCAGTGAAATTCTCCCAGGTACAGATAGGAATATAACACCCCCAAAACGTGGAAGTGCTTTACCAAGAGTAGGATGACAGACCCTATCATGACACGCTTAGCTTACCTATATCAAAATAGTTTTGAAGGTGGTACACAAACACAAGGAATTCTTAGGTTTGCTTGAGAACTTCGGAAGTGCTATCAGTTACTTTCATAAGCTAATTACCTTCAATTCAGAATAAGTTAAGCCTTTGATCTTGTCCAGCACGTTGGAGTGAATGGCTTGCTTGCCTCAGGAAGGGGCCATCTCGTACTACAAGTCATAAGAGGGATTTTTTTCTATGCTTTTTAGGTTGAAAGCACATCAGAGGCTTCACACAGGGAAAACGTTTAACTGTGAATCAGAAGGCTGCAGTAAATACTTCACAACGCACAGCGACCTGAGGAAGCACATTCGGACACACACAGGAGAAAAGCCATTTCGGTGAGATGCTGGGTGGCAATTTTTACTTCTGTGGGACTTGTGTAATAGGTCACCTGTGTCAAAAGGCAGCTGTTACTGTCCTGAATGAAGAGCTGTTCTGGTGAGAAAAAAGGTGGTGGGTGTTCGAGCGTGTTTGTCCTAGAGCTCCCTTTTGTTGCCTGTAAAAGTGGGTGAAATGACTGTCTTCAAAGACAAGAATAGTCAAGCTCTGTTTTTTAAACGTAAATGTGTGCCACGATGAGCACAGTTTTGAAACCTACTGCGGCTTCTCTGCCGTGATGGAACGTTTGTTCTTTGAAGGAGCCCCCTCCCCAAAGGGGTGTAGTGTGTGAGGCTGTGGATGTGGGGTTTAGTTGGTGAGTGGTGGTTTTGGGTTTGTTGTTCTTGTGGTGGTTGTGGTGGTTTTTTTGTTTGTGTTTTGTTTGTTGGTTGTGTTGTTGTTGTTGTTGTTTTGTGGTTGGACTCGATGATCTCGGAGGTCCCTTCCAACCACTAAGATTCTGTGATTCTGTGAAATGCTGACTTCATGTTTGAATTGAAAGGATATGGGATAGGGGAGGGGTATCCTGAGGGATACCATGTAGGGGAGGACTCTGTAGAGTAGTGTAGATGGTTGGACTTGATGATCCCAAGGGTCTCTTCCAACCTGAATGATTCTATGACTCTATGAAAGTCCTGTTGAGAGCCCTGTGTCTGCAGCTCACGCAGCGGCTGTGGGGAGGGACCCAGTGACTGACACAGGTCAGCACTGGGCCAGCTTTTCAGAGTCCTGTGGCTGTTGCACAGTGTGACCTAAGGTTGTGACTAGTGCCTCGAGGAGGCCTGGTGCTAACTCTTGTGTGATCCTCACTCAGGTGTGAGCATGACGGCTGTGGAAAGGCGTTTGCTGCAAGCCACCACCTTAAAACACATGTTAGGACACATACTGGTAAGTCCCGAGGGCTTAGTTTTATTTTACTTGAATTTTTTCAGTTTCTGCTAACTCTCAGAATCCTAATATGCATTTATACTTATAAATAGATGTAATATGTGGGTGACACCAGGCTGAGTGGTGTAGTTGATGTGCTGGGCTGGGGGCGTGTGTCCATGCGAACCTTGTGATGTTTGACAAGGCCAAGTGCAAACCCCTGTACCTGGGTCAGGGCAATCCCCAAAATTCCATTTATGCCTGACAGGTCTTGAATTTCATGAGCATGTTTCATAAATGTATCGGTAACGATGCATAAAAATTAAATGTTGTGTTCTTGTGTCAGTTCATGTGGTAAAATAGAAGCTTTTGTCTGCAAGACTCCCAAGAATGGTTAATGCGTGAAGGGGCATTAAACAGTCGTGTTAATGTGAAATATTATCCTTCTCCTCTGGGCTTTAAAAATAGGTGTTATATGTGTTTTTTGCTGTCTGTAGGGGAGAAACCCTTCTTCTGTCCCAGTAACGGCTGTGAGAAGACTTTCAGTACTCAGTATAGTCTCAAGAGTCACATGAAAGGTCATGAGAAAGGCCATTCCTATAATGCACTTCCCAATAACAACGTGTCTGAGGTGAGTAGTGCTTCTTCCTGGCGCTTCTGTCTGAGGTGGACGTGAAACCATGCTTTGGGGAAGAAATTCCTTGTCTGCTGCCTGTTCTAAAGGTATAATGTTTAAGGCTGGGACTTTTGAAGGGAATTGTAGTTCTGGGCTCCCCAGTTCAAGAGGGACAGGGAACTACTAGAAAGAGTCCAGCGAAGGGCAACAAAGATGATTCAAGGACTGGAGCATCTCCCTGATGAGGAGAGACTGAGAGAGCTGGGACTCTTTAGTCTGGAGAAGAGAAGGCTGAGGGGAGACCTTATTAATGCTGACAAGTATCTCAAGGGAGGGTTGAAGGAGGAGGGAGCCAGACTCTTTTCAGTGGTTCCCAGTGACAGGACGAGGGGCAACGGGCACAAGCTGGAACATAAAGGGATCCATTTGAATATGAGGAGAAACTTCTTCACGGTGAGGGTGACGGAGCCCTGGAACAGGCTGCCCAGGGAGGGTGTGGAGTCCCCTTCTTTGGAGATTTTCAAAACCCGCCTGGATGCTCCTGAGTAACATGCTCTAGCTCTAGGCAATCCTGCTTCAGCAGGGGAGTTGGACTAGATGATCTCTATGGTCCCTTCCAACTCTAGAAATTCAGTGAAATTCAGTGAAATTCAGT